ATGAGGACTGGACCAGTTGTTTATGTGACTAATTGGATGTCTACATAAAAAGGAGAATAGGGGCAGGTCCGGCTATTCTCATCTGTTCTAAAGCCAGAGCTTGCTCTAAAGTGGAGAGGCATGTAGACTGGAGAGAGGGGAACCATTTAGCTGTCCTTTGCTGACTCTCTTATGTAAGCTCCAAGGTCAAGAAGTCTTCATTTTGTTTCCAAGTAGCAGGAGGAAAGACAAGTTTTAAGGGTCAATTATCAGGGAGGGACAGGGCTTGGGAAGGTTCTAAATTAGGGTGCCGATTTTATAGATTTGACAACAATGGGACATGTGAAGAAGAGACTAAAGAGAGGGATTGGAGGAGAAATGTCCTGAGGGAAGAAGATGAATATCATTAGATGGACAGTTGAGGATGGGCAGGAGAGAGTCAGCTTCTTCACAGACAGGAGATAAGTGAACAGTCAAGGAGAAAGAAGAAAGAGGGAAATTTTGACTTTGAGAAAAAGAAAGCTGAGAAAACTCAGTGTACCAGCAAATTAGGAGGAAATGAGAAAGAACTGTAGGACAAGTATTTGGGGATAGTTGAACCTAAGAATGCAGTGGAGAGCTCTAAAGAGGTGAATCAAGCCAAGCACCGTAGTGCACATCTCTAACCTTAGCAGCTCGGGAGGCTGAGGCAGGACATCTGGAATTCAAAGCCAGCCTCTGCAAAAGTGAGGCGCTAAGCAACTCAGTGAAACCCTGTCTTTAAATGAAATACAAAATAGGGCTGGGGATGTGGCTCAGTGCTTGAGTGCCCCTGAGTTCAATCCCTGGTATCACCCCCCACACACAAAAAAAGAAGTGACTTAAAGGGTGGCCATGCAGTCATGGGAGCCACCCAAGACAATGCAGAATCCTAGTGGGGCAAAAGGGGCTCATATTTGAAATATATGAAAAAATATTCAATGTCTTCAGAAATTAGGGAAACACAAACCAAAACCACTAAAAAACAAACAACAACAACAACAAAAAAAAAAAACTATACAGATTTCTTCTCATTCCAGTTAGAATGACAGTCATCAAGTATACAAATAGTAATAAATGCTGGAGAGGATGTGGAGGAAAACAAAAGGAAGAAACACTTTCACACTTTTATTCAGTCACAAAGAAGAATGAAATCATGCTATTTGCAGGAAAATGGATGGAACTGGAGACGATTATGTTAAGCAAAATATGCCAAATTTAGAAGATTAAAAGTCAAATGTTTTTTCTCATAGGTGAGAGGTAGAAAGAAAAGGAAAAAAAAAAAAAAGAAAGGTGGTCATGGCAGAGGGGCGGGGTCCCATGAGAATGGAAGGGAAACCAGTAGAGGAAAAGAACCAGAGAGAGGAGAGTAACAGGGGAAATTGATACTGGCAAAATTATACTGTTATATCATGTGCATGCACAAATATACAGCAGCAAATCCCATCATTACTTATAATTATAATGTACCAATAAAAATATGGGGAAGAAAGGTTGTGTTTGCAGGGTCTATTTTGCAGATGGGCAATTCTTAATGGTCATTATATCCAAGGCGGAACTTTGTGAGTGCCAATAAAGGACATCATAGTTGAGCATTTCTTGGATTCCAAGAAAATACACAGCCAAAGTATTAATGTCACCCTATGGCTTATGAAGCCAATGAAGAGGTAAAAAGAGAATTTAAAATTTTCACAGTAATTTCTTGATAACCCTTGCATGACCTAGCAATGCTTCATCTGTGATCATAAAAAAGGCTTTGGGTGTGGATGGTACAGCTCTCAGAACCATCCACACAGCTTTTGATTTAGCAGAATAAGGTGTTTTTCATTTAAATCCCATCCTAGAACTGGATCTACTACATCATGGGGAATAATGGGGATAAACAGGAGGAGCTGGAAGGATCAAAACACTGTGTCAGTTCCTGTAGACACTAATGCAACGTGAAGTCATCCTCTCTGCCTCTAGGTCTACAAAAGTCTAGCAGTGTTCTGAGTGTATCCTTGCCGTTCTTACTCCTTAGACTATGTGAGAAGGTTAGCATTTGGATTATAACTAGTTCCTTATAAATCATCCTTCTCGAAAAATTTTTAAAACCCCAACTCAAAGATTCTTCTCTTAAGAGCAGCGCCTTTTGAATTTATGTCTCTAAGTCTCACCTGGTACCTGGCAGGCATATAGATGTTCAAAAATCATCCACAGAATGAATGAATGGACTCGCTGTGCTCTCTATGAGCCCATATTTCCCTGGGATATACTTTCGGGCTTTAAAGTCTCTGTGACCTTCTCCCATTCCTGTGCCATTCAGCATCTGAAAGATGCATAAGCAACTCTAACTCTGTAAACAAATTATTATATGTTGGCCCCTGTAGGCAAGATCTACTTCTTCTTACTCCAGGTCTACCCTGGATTCTTTGCTCTTAATTTTGCTTATTCCTGGACTGATCAGTTGGCTGTGCCTCCTACAGAAACAGTGGAAGAGATTAAAGAAGGGGCAATAAATAGGAGGTAGAGTAGGGGAGCCTGAACAAGTAAAAGAAGACTGCATATATTGAGGCTTATATTAAGCAAAGCAGTCTCGACTTGAAATCTCCATTCCTACTAGACAGTAATCTCAGCTTTTTCCTGCCTTGGAACTGCTAATCACCAAGAAGGCAACTAGTCCATTCGACATGTTACGTAAGTCAGTAAAAGGTATCCTCTATAGAGTCGGAGGCAGCCAACCCCAAAATGCATGTCATGGTGAGAAAAATGTGGGCCAGAATTCAGTTGCACTGGATCATTTGAGCAGGCAGGCACCTTGGGCAGTAACCAACCTGCATTACGATGTTCTTTGTTCCTGATAGGTACTTACTCTTTGGAGCCTAAGTCTTTATTCCTAAGAACTACAATCTCATTCTAAAAGCTATCTATCAGATTCCTGGACTACACTGTAACAATTAGAAGACTTAGGAGAGCTGGGTTTGGTGGCACATACATGTAACCCAAGCTATTTAGGAGTTTGAGGCAGGAGAATCTCAAATTGAAGGCCAGCTTCTACAACTTAGTGAGAAGATGCCTCAAAATTAAAAATTAAAAAGAGCTGGGGACATAGCTCAGTGGTAGAGTGCCCTGGGTTCAATTCCCAGTCCAGAAGAAGAAGGAGGAAGAAGAAAAAACGGAGGAGAGTGAGGTAGATGGGAAGGGAGAGGAGGAAAGAGAGAAGAGGGAGAAGGGTATACTGCTATTAGGTGTTTGCATCACTGTAAACATGTCTTTTCACCTTCAGTTAGCAAAACCAATGGGATAACTTTACGTGAAGGGCTTTTTCTGGTATGTTTGGGCAAACTCAGCAATCTCTTCATTTCTGCCTTTGTGGTTTAATTCCAGCAGGTAGAAGATTTATGTATATACAGTGTTTTAACCAGCTTTTAGTTGCTGGGACCAAAAGACCCAACCAAAACAATTTAGAAGGAAAAGTTTATTTTGGCTCATGGTTTCAGAGGTCTCAGTCTCTAGACGGCCAAATCCACAGCTCTGGGCCCAAGATGAGGCAGAATGTCATAGCAGAAGGGCTATGCAGGAGGAAAGTAGCTCAGGACATGGCAATTAGGAAGCAGAGAGAGAGTTCTACTCACCAGGGACAAAATATGTACCCAAGGGCATACCCCCAGTGACCCACTTCCCCCGGACACATCCTCCCTGCCTATAGTTACTACCCAGTTAATGCATTCAAAGGGATTAATTCACTGATGAGGTTATAACTCTCATAATCTAATTATTTCACCTCTGAAATTTCTTGCATTGCCTCACATATGAGCTTTTGAGGGACACCGCATATCTAAACCATAACATAAGGTCTTCCTTTCCTAACTGTACACTTCAGTAGAGCCATGGATAAAAGGTTGGGGGGGGGTGGATTTCCCTCCATCCCTCGCTGGTCGAGTCTAGCTCTCCAGGGCTTTTCTCAATGCAAATCAGGCAGCAAATCTTAGAGTATCAGTGACACAGCTTGATTAAACCCTGGGTGGGCTGTCCTACCACACCACACCAGCTGGACCCCAAACTGACAATGTTCAATGCTTACAGAGCTGTCAAAATTGGAGATGGTGTGGGACTGAGTAAAGGTTATGACCGTGCCAAAATCTGCAACTGTGTTTTCTGAGTATGCTCTGTTTCCAAACTGGAAAAAAAAAAAAAAAGTGACTCTTTGGATTTGACTAGAGAAGCCTGTTGATTTTTTTTTTTCCCTCAGACAATGGCAGGGGAAGATGAGTATGGTGTGGATGGGAGGGTTGAACTCAATAAGTAAAGGCTCAGTTTTGATGGGGCTGGCCTCTCCACCACCTGTGCCATTGGAGTAATTTTCTAAATGTTCAAAAGAAATTCGTGAGGCTAGATTCCCTTCAGTGGCAGGGCCTCATATATGTTTTTCCTTGGGAAAGATAAACTTTCCAATGAAAGGAAGAATTCTCTGGCTCTCTCTTCATTGTTACTCTTTTTGGGGGTAAAACATAGCTCCTATCTGCCAAATTTCCACCAAGACTCAACTGCCATTCTTGACCAGTAACTATAATCCGTCCCTTTCCAGGGTGGTTTGACAGGATGTAACTGGATCTTGAATGTTGCTTTACTTGAAGCACAGCTATAACTGAGATTTCTAGGGTCCTGAAGCCTCTGCTTTTAATAGTAAATTCAACAGAAGCTCAGGAAGGGGGTCTGGTGGAAAACATCCCCTTGGTCTCCCCTGTGCATAATATCTATAACAAATGGTGACTGGATCTAAAATCATGTTGTTGTCTCATTAATTTTTTAAGGTTCCAACTTCTGAGGACACTGGGAAAGGAGCAATTATAATTGTGAGGTCAGGATTTAGGACTGCCCACTGCAATCATTCAGGCCCTTTCTCTCTGTATTATCTTCATTGCTTTCAGGCAAACACATATAAATCTGGCTGTTTTTGGATGGACAGCCCAGGCAGACTTGCCATGTAGTAATGAAGTAAACAACTAGGTTTTATTCCTCAGGAGAATATATCGATGAACATGGTGGCTGCCAAGTCTGCGATGCTTCATGTGCCAAGTGCCGGGGGCCAACCCAGGAGGACTGCACCAGCTGCCCCCTCACAAGGTGAGTAGCCTTCGGTATCTTCTGGGTGTGGAAGGTCACAGGATGCAGGGTGGGAAAAGGAGGTGCTAACGAGCTCAGCAGCACCCCAGGGATCTGCGGGAAACAGGACCAACTTGTTCCCATGACACAGATATTTTCCTTGGTCTGGCCACAACCCACGTCTGTACTATCCTTTCTCCATGATGCCCAATACCCTGTGCAAGGACCAGTTCCCTGGGCACTACGAAGGCTTCTTCAATGATGAAGACGGTGGCTTCAGAGCCATCTTTCATGACTGGAATTTCATCCCTCAACCATCACTTCCATCTTCTGGCCAAATATCTACTCATTTCTAGAGTCAATTCAAGAGTGAACTGTCCTATGAAATGCCTCAGCATTTCAGACCCTTTTGAGTAGAATTAACCTTCTCTGTCTATGCCTCTTTGCTCTATATAAGCTTCCCACCAGGCACCTGTTGAAGACATTTGCTTACATCTCTGTGTTAAACCGTTTGCTCCTTGAGATCCTCCCTTTTGTATCTCCAGTTCCAGTCAGAGTGCTAGGAAAACAACAGGCACCTAATAAATGTTTGATAATTGAGTGAATGAGGGCCTATCAAGCATGTGAGTGGCATTCTAACAAAGAGAGTTGGAAACTTCTGTGGTTTTGGTCGGTGCTCCTCTGATCCCAGCACTTGGTGGTTGTTGGCTGCCATGTTGGAATGAGTAGCCCATCATTGCCAGCTGTCTGTGGAGGAAGCAGGGTGTCTTCCCAGACCAGCAGGAAGGGGCTGTTCCACTGGCAGGTGCTTTGTGTCTCTAGAATGGACACTCCCTATACCAGTCATGTTCTCCTGATTAATCTTCATGACTGTAACATCTTTGAGAGCAGAAGCTGTGGTGTAGGTGCCCCGCTATTCCCCCACAGTAGTCAAAGGTGTGTGCTTTATTGAATCTATAATCAATAATCAATATCTTAGGTTTGTTTGGCTCTTCAAATATCTTCCTCAGAAAGAGGAAGGAAGAAAGGAAAACAATGAGTAAAAAAAAAGAAGGAAGAAGAGAAGGAAGGAGAAAGACAAAGATAAAATAACAGTTTTAAGAATTCTCAGTGATAGTTGGGTGCTGTGGCACATTCCTATAATCCCAGTGACTCTGGAGCCTGAGGCAGAAGGATTGCAAGTTGGAGGCCAACCTGGGCAACTTAACATGACCCTGTCTCAAAATCAAAAAATAAAAAAGACTAAGGATGTAGCTCAGTGGCTAAATCCCCAATATCATTAAAAAATTACAAAATCAAAAAAAGAATTCTCAATGATAACCATTAGGACATTTTCAAGTATCTCTTTAAGAAAACTAGACTTCTAAACATAGCATTTTCTTCAAAGAAATTTCAAAGCATACTTTAAGATGGAGATAATATTATCAAGATGAGGTTCTCTTTCTCTTCTTACTCCTGACTACAGCAGCATCAAATCCCATTGCATGTTTGGACATCTTTTGAACTGGAAGAACATTTTAGCATTGCTCGATAAGACCGCCCATCATCCAGTGCACAGTGCTGATTATCCCTGGCTCACCAGAAATGAGAAGTGAGAAAAAAAAATCTACCATTATACATGGTCATTTTAAGAATCTGAGTCCATTGGGACTAGATCAGAGGTAAACATGCTGGGTTACTTCAGTCGTTCCATTTGTGAAGTATCCTGTGATCTAGCTTTTGAAGAAATAAAAGCAAGTGCATGGACCTTGAACCAGGATATCTTCTTAAGAAAATCTTTTTCCCCCCAGGAACAATTTTCTTCTCATCCCTCTGAGCATGCCATCCCCCAGCCCCATTTCTCTTCTTTGATGTCAGTTAAATATGTCCAAGGAAGGGCACCATAGCATGGCAATGAGCTACCTGACTCCTTTTCTTATTTTCCTTGAAGGAGGCTGAGAAGGTGAAAAGAAAGCAAACATCTTGGAAAATGATGATGTTGGCTTGTGTGTTCTGGAAAGAGCAGAAAAGTGTTTTCCTTAAGTGTTTTCTGAAGATTAGTCCTCATTCACTTTGTGCTGCTGCAACAGAATACTTGGGACTGAGTAATTATGAACAGAAGTTTGGCTGACTATTCTGGAGGCTAGGAAGTCCAAGTTCATGGCACCAGCACCTGGTAAAGCCTTTGCGGCTGGGTCATGCCATAACAGGTGGTGGAAGGAAAAGAGAGCAAGAATGAGAGAGCAAGGGGAAGGCAGATTTTCTTTCCTAACTATCCCACCCCCATGATGACAGCATTAATCCTTGCGTGGGGCCAGATTCCTTGCAACCTATAGTTATTGCTTATTAAACCCCACTTCCCAACACTGTTGCATTGTGAATTCAGTTTCCAACACATAACTTTTGAGAACACATTAAAACCATATAAAATGAAATCAGGTCCATTAAAGACTAGAAAAAAGCACCTGCTTAGCTGGGCATGAGGTTGCACACTCATAATCCCTGCAACTCAGGAGACCGAGGCAGGAGGATCACAAATTTGAGGCTAGACTCAGCAAGTTTATGAAATCCTATCTCAAAATAAAAGATAAAAAGAGGTGGAGATGTAGCTCAGTGGTACAATCCAAGGTACAAGCTCCTGGATTCAATCCAGGACTGCAAAAAGAAACAACAAAAATAACCTGCTGCTTTATATCCAACCTGAGATAAATGAAGAGTCCAGGGATCCTGTAGTGAGTCTCCCTGCCCTTTAGGTCACAGGTAAAGGAGGGGAAAGTACTCAAGGACAAGCAATAGTGGTGGTGAAACTTTAACACCCTATATCTGACACAAGAGTTGCACAGGTAGAAGAAGGGACACCCTAGAAAAAGTGGAACTATAGAGAACACAGCCTCTGCCCAGCTGTGGAAGAAGGAAGCAGAGTTACGGGTAGAGAATAATCTCCCTCAATCTCTCTCCTTTGAACCTCAGATCTCCTGTGAATGTTTCTCCTTATCTGAAACTAACTGGAGGCCAATGAGAAATACAGCTTATCTGTGAGGAAAATTGAGCTTAGGATGCTGTATGAAGTGGGCTCACTTCTAGGCAAAGGACAGAGAAATGCAGAAAACAGATCTGTGTTGGGAGCGAGAGGAGACAAACAAAATACCCGAGATAGTTGTTATAAGTTTCTTCTTGTTCTGAAGCCTTTGGATAGCTCTAGTACTGGTAAAATAAAGATAATCTTCAAAGAGTTTTCATCTGGGAGAGGAATGTTAACATTTGTCTTGAAGGTCTGCTTCAAAACCACATGCAAGTGAAGTAAATTGGTGGAGAGAGAGATGAAATAAGATTGGCCAGGCCTTGATGACTGCTGAAGCATTTGTACTGAGTGATGAATGTATTGGCTGGTAGGAGGTTTACTTTTATATATAGTGTGTGTGTGTGTGTGTGTGCCTTTATATATGTTTAAATTACTCTATAATAAAATTTTAATAAACAAAAGAATTTAACTAAAAGAATTCAACCCTAACGTGGTTTTACAGGAAATCCAATTAGAGAAGTTGTTTCTGCACCCTGTAGTTTCCCTTTGCATGTCTATAAACCTTTGGGTTTAATTCCTTGAAGACAACTGAAAACATGAAGGAATCAAGTGCCCCCTTTGCCATTGTATTTACCATGCAAACATCTGAAATGCTGTGGCCATATGGCCCATGTTCATTTCTAAGCCCATTCCTGAAGGAGTCAATGAATAAACTAAAAACATTTGAAAGTTACCTCTGTTCTTATCCAGACTTAAATATTTTTATTTGATCTGCTTCAATGAATGCAGAAGAAAAAAATTTTTTTTTCTCAAATTTCATTCCGTTAGACCATTAAAGCACCAAGAAGTCACATTAAGTGCCTTTGTCATGGCTTTAATTAGGCCAAATCAACAATCAGCACAAATTCTGATTTGCCATCTCCACTGTTACAGTTCACATCACACGTGCACACAGGCACACAACCTGGGGGTTTCTGGAATACTCAGCTCCAATGCTGAGATCATCTGTCCCAGCTCATTAGCTCTTGGTTCTACCTTCTTCCTCCTTGCTATTAGATCTGTTGGACCTGGAACAGGTCCTGTCTATGAGAAGGTCAAGATCATGCATAAGTTGTGGGGAGAAGTTCTTCTGTAGAGATCAGCTTATCAGAATGTCTTTGGATTTCATGCATTAGATAACTGGTGGTCCCAGACATACCTTGATACTAAAGAAAAGTTTCATCAAACACATTTTCTTCTTTCATAGAGCCAAGTGAGGACTTTCTACTTTGTCTACTTTTCTGTAGACAACTGTGGCTATTTGAAATGGGACTTCTCTTCAAGTTTCTGAGCAATTTTTCTTGAGCAGGATGGAGAGTGAAGGACAGTGATATAATTCATTGCCTTCACTTAAGCATGTCTGATTTCCTTATCTTTATCTTTAGAAAGAATCATGCTTTCACAAACATTGGGTATGTTGCTTTTGCTTTCCTCAGGGTGCAGGAGGAGGGGGTGGCTTGACACACAATTATGTGCTTGAAAGTTTCTTAAAATCAAATCAGAAGTCCCCTTTCCTAATAAAAAGGGAAGGTTGTGCCTTCTGCTTCCTCCTCTGTCTGGTGAGGTTTAAATGGTCCCTATTAAATCAAATTACCTCTCCCAAGGGAAATGACTTCCCCAAAACCAAGTTATCATCTCTTCCTAAAAAGAACACAATAATGATGTGTTTCACATCCTTCTGAACTGAAAAGATTTAGCATGAAAATGAACCCCTAGATTTCATTTGCCTTTTTTTTTTTCCTTTTCAGCAAAGCATGGAGTAGCTTCCTTTATTCAAATCCTCAGAAAGCTCTTCTGCAGATTTTCTTATAGGGATGTTGTTGGTTTTGTTGTTGCTGTCATTTTTTAACTAGTCCCATCCAAATAATTCCTTGGGAAAAACATCTCCTAACTCAGAAATCAGAGCCAGAGTGGGGCTGGGATATTCCTGTTGGGCATCAGAACCACCAGTTTAACATCTGAGCTCGGACAACAGGCACCTCAGTCTGCTCCATGGTGCAGAGGATGGGCTTTGACAAGACAGCCAGATGTGGGTGTCTGTTTAGGGTTGGGACTCCACGCACTTCTCTGCGTCAAAAGGATTGTTTGGTCCCCGAATCAAAAGGCCTGGGCAACCAGGAGCAAGTGACTTTTTGTTAAGTCACTGGCTTAAATCCCAAACTGATGTAAGTGACACAGATGGTCAAGATATGGGAATGAACAAGACAGAAGATCACTTAAGTTGCAGAGCCCCAGGCTAATTTCTTCCAACCCTTGGATCGAAGTGGTCCACTCTGCCATTCAAGGTTGGTTCCAGGTCTGGGAATAGCAGAGTTTAGACAAGTGCCACCCCAGGACCAAGTTGCTCAAGGTCTACACCTGGCCTTTTGTGTGCTGTCTGGCCTGAGTGGAGGAAGTGGTAGAGAGAGAAGGAAACCTTCCCTTTTCTGTACAGGCCCAGTCAGCTCCCGCAAGCCTGGATGGCAGCACTGTGCCCTTAGGGCCATGCACACACTGTGTACTCTGTTAACCTCCAGATGGACACAGTAGGTGCACTCTAAGGAAGCTTTAATAGACTCCAATCTGGCATCACCTGTATTACTTGGAAATCACTCAGCAAATTCCTGTCATTGAGGATTGATTTTCAAAGTATTCTCTTACATGAGCCAGCAACCCCACTATCTGTGTATAGCCCAAAGAAATGGAATCAGCATACCAAAGAGAGGCCTGCATGCTCATAATCATTATAGCACTACTCACAATGGTGAAGATATGGAATCAATCTAGGTACTCATCAACAGGTGAATGGACTTAAAAAAAAAAGTGCTATATATAGCGCCGTTCGACCATAAAGAAGAATAAAGTCCTGTCATTTGTAGTAAAATGAATGTAACTAGAGGATATTATGTTAAGTGAAATAAGTCAGACATGAAAAGACAAATATTGCATGTTTTCATTCATATGAGGAAGCTAGGAGAAATTTATATGAATGTAGAATAGTAATTTCTACAGTCTGGGAAAGTTGGGGGTTTGGTGGATAAAGGACATTTATGGTACCAAACATAAATAGAAAGAATAACTTCTGGTGTTCCTCAGCACAGTGTGTGACTACACTTCACCATAATATACTATATACTTATATATATGAAAATCTAGAGGAGAGGAGCTTGAAGACTCTACAAAAAGAAATAATAAGGAGTTGGAGAGGTTAATTATTCTGACTTGATCAGTACATGCTATAGGCATGTGTTGAAAATCTCACTATATCAAATTAATAGTATAATTAATACATGTTAATCAAAAAAGCTACATAAATAAATAATCAAAGGTTTAAAACAAAATTATGCTCTCTGAACCAGTGGTGTTAGCATTACCTGGGAATTTGTCAGAGATGCAAATTCTCAGTTTCTTCCCCCAAGACCTCCTAAATTAGAAACTCTGGAAGTTGAGATTCCAGCTCACTTCATCTATTCCCATTACCTACCTGACTCTAACATTTATTTGATCAACATCTTGTATTTTTCTTAGCAAAATTCTTGAATACAATTGACTTAATCATATTTCTTCTTATAACTACTTTGTCAAGAAAAATGACACAAAAGCATGAAAAACAATGACATGATGTATATATTATATGTATATAAAACCAAAGATATTAGAAGTCAACATGCAAAGCCCTTGTGGATGTTCACAAGCATGGTCAGAAAACAGAGACTGTAGGATCCCATATATCAGAAAATACTTTCAAAAAGTGATGTTCGGAATCAGAATTCATTAATTATTTACAATATACACAGGCCAAATTTATAAGTAGCACCTATTCTACCCTTCAAGATCCCTTGGAGCTGACATTTCTCTTGCCCAGTGTGGGTAGGGTGTTAACTAAAGGAAGAATATTTTCTCTAAGACCTCTGCATTCAGAGGTCCATTTAGCATCTTGAAAGTTCAGAGACCTCCATCTGACTGCTGACTGGATTTGGCCAGAGTCTACAGTATGGGTTTAATCCCTGTGGGTACAAGCTAGTTTATTTGGAACCAAATACAGGATCAGATCCCCAGCCAGCTCCTGGAATGTCTGCCGTTGGACCCAAGTCTCAGGCCAAGGATGGGTACATGACTAATATTTTGCATGTTCTAAGATGATCAGTCCCAGGCAACCCTCTTGTTTCTGGAACAATGAAATCCAATCTGTGCAGTGAAACATGAATACCACATGTTCCAATACTTGGGGCCTTTCTGGGAAGTCACCCTGATACATTCTAAAAGTCTGCTTTTCCTCTAGGGTTTTTGATGATGGCCACTGCATTTTGAGCTGTCCCTTGTGGAAATTTGAGTTTAAGAGCCAATGCCATCCATGCCACCACACCTGCCGAGCCTGCCAAGGAAGTGGACCTTCCAACTGCACCTCATGTGGAGCAGGTGAGGGAGCCGCTGTATCCTGCCCTACCTCATCCCTTCCCTTCTCCAGCCCACCTCCTTTGGTCTGACACAGAAGCCTCATCCCTGGGGTTGAGGGTTAAAACTTGACAACTCTTCCTTAAAGAGCCTGTACAACTCTGAAACCTCTTCTTGTTGTCAGAATGTGAAAACATTGTTCCCATTATGATGGATGCTGACTCATTGCCCCGGAGGGGATGGGAGAGGAAAACTAAGATCAGGCTTTCTCCAGAGAAGGAGAAAGGACATATCAACTGGATGTCAGATATAAGATAGGGAAGCAGAGATATGTTGAGGCAAAGGTAAAAAGCTAGAGAATTAAGGAGGCTATTTGGTCTCTAAAAGAGATAGCATATTGAGGCTGTGTCAGGGTCTTCTCAAAGCTGAGCTGTGCCATTAAGATGTTGTCAGAGCCCTGCAGAAACAAGGAAATCATTTCAACTCATGACAAATGTGACCTTTTGCGTCCCAGTTTGAACTCCCTTCTCCTGGTCTCAAAGGTCCTCTGCAGTTTGACCTTTGATCCCTCTAGCCTCATCTCACATGTCTGTCTGTCCTCTAGTTTGACCTCATGTGAGCCAGATTCATATTTCATTTGGCCCACATAATACTTTTAATATGTGAGCCAAATTTAAAATTTGGGAAATTTCAAATGAAAACACAGTTTTTGTTTTTTGTTTTTTTTCTTCTTTTCTCTTGAAAACTTGGAAGATCTGACTACACTGGTTCTACATCTCTCAAAGAGTTTCCCGGAGCCTTAAAGAGGCTGCTCTCAATTTCTCCACAATTTCCACCATTTCTGAGCATCTCACTGGTACTGAGACTGTCAGATATCATCATCATACTTCCATCATTTTTCTGGTGAAAGAGAATTATTTTATCTTTATTCTCACTTACAATAAAACCAAGAAAAATGAAGAACAAATTGAGAATGTCATGGATTCACAGGGATACAGGAGATAAGACATTCTTTGAATAAATTAAAAGTATTGCTTTGTGCTTCATATGTAAAAAAATACACATCTATGTCATTTTTATCTCTAGACTGTCACATGCCATTTACTTCCTCATTTATAACACAGTGCTAACAGTTACCTCTTCCATACTTATGAAAGTTAAATGAGATTGAATGAGATGAAATAACAAAGCATTTAGAGCAGAGAAAGACATAGGAAGAACTCAATGATATTAGCTTTTCTTATTTTCATTTCTATTCTTGTTATTGTTGTTGTTATTGTTTTAATCCACTTACTCCTCTGGGCATTTGCGTTTCTCTAGCCTGTGAGACTTCACTTGAGGTGTTCCCACTCATTGTATGGTGACTCCCTACTATTCCACCATTTCAACACCATTTCTGCAGGGAGAGCCTCCCTGCTTGCCCAGGAAGACCCCTTCACAGGCACACCTGGAGTCCTCTACTTCCTGTTTACCAGCCTCTTCACATTGCATGTCTATCTTATCCATAAAACCCTATGCCCCATAAAAGCAATGAATTGTTCTTGCCTTATTTTCTGCTGTATTTTGATCATGAACACAGCCTTCAACATGTGGAAGGTATGCAATAAATAACTGAATGAATGAAAGGTTAAGTGGAAAGAACATTAAGACCAGCAGTCAGAAAAATTGGGTTCTTGTCCCAGTTTTGTTACTAACTTGAAGACACTAAACCAATCAATTCACTTTTTTCAGTTTCTAGTTATTTGTTAAAAAAAAAAAAAAAAAGAGCCAGGCACAGTGGTGCATGCATGTAATCCCAGCAGTTTGAGAAACTAAGGCAGGAGGATCACAAGTTTAAAGCCAGCCTCTGCAACTTAGTGAGACCCTAAGCAACTTAGTGAGACCCTGTCTCAAAATAAAAAATAAGAAAAGGGCTGTGGATATCGCTCAGTGGTTAAGCACCCTGAGTTCAAGGACTAGTAGCAAAAAGAAAAAGAAAAGAATAAAGAGAGAGAGAGAGAGAGAGAGAGAGAGAGAGGTAAATGGGCATCTAAAATCATCTTAACATCAAATAAACCAATAAATATCTATACAAAGCACAAAATTAGAAGTTTAGATGTTAAACAAATGTCTAGTCTTTTAAGCATCTTTTAGCTACTTGGACCAATCTACACATTAAAAGGTTTTGACTTATATTCTGTATTAACTATTTGAAAGGCTGTGTTTAACCCAGTATCTTCAACATTTATTGTGTCTCTCCCATGTCCAAGTTCCTGCATGTTGAGAGCTGTGAAAAATATAGCAAAAGACAACATGATACTCAGCTTCAAGGGGTTTACTATCTAACAAGGATGTTGTCCCCCTGTAATACAAAACAAGAAAATATCAGACAAAGCCCACATCAATGGTAGGAATCCTACCACAGGTCAGAGAAGAAACCTCACTTCCAGCTCTAGTCAGCAGAGAAGGGTATTGCTTAGCAAGCCATGTTCTCTTCCTAATAAGAGCTTGGTGTCCCTAGTCCAAGGATTGTTAGCACAGAAAGGATATCAGAGACCTTGATGAGACAATACAAAAGGTAGATAATTCAACTGAAAAGGTTTTCCATATCTATCAATGGAAGCTTTAATAAAAAGCTGAAAATTCAGCTGGGCTCAGTGGCGCATGCCTGTAATCCCAACAGCTTGGGAGGCTGAGACAGGAGGATTGCAGGTTCAAAGCCAGCCTCAGTATCAACGAGGCACTAAGCAACTCAGTGAGACCATGTCTCTAAATAAAATACAAAATAGGACTGGGGGTGTGGCTCAGTGGTCAAGTGCCCCTGGGTTCAATTCTCAATACCAAAAAAAAAAAAAAGCTGAAAATCCTATGTCTGGGGAGTTACCCCTAGCCACACAAGCCTCTCTCACCAACTTGTAGAGATTTAATCTCTTATTGAATTGCAACTTCATTAAGTCTTTGGTATGAATCCTTATGGAAATGCAGATGTCCAGTTATGTTGGTGAAAATTCACTCTAAATTCTCCTCCAGTTCATCCTCTACCAAATGAGACCCAGAGATAAACTAAACCAATTACAGTAAGCAAAATGTTGAAGTAAACTTCATAAAGTTTATTTTCAGCTTTTCTTTCATCTTTTCTGACAGTACTTTTCCCTCATGCCCTCAACCCTCAACCTTCCTTCCCTCCTACAGACTTCAATGTCTTCACACTAGTCTACCTTCTCGTATAACAAAACCAGCTGTTAAGAGATTCTCTGATAAACAGATATTTACCCTTTGAAACACCTGAATGCCAAGCTGAACCTCTTTCAGAGTTTCTTTGTATTTTAACTCTTACCTCACAACATCCCATGAAAGGTTTTGAAGCTAGGAAATATGTGAGCCCTTCTATTGCTGGAATCAGCTACATACTATTATCATAATTCATATTTGGAGACCCTGGGCAAGTAGCCAAATATTAAGCATGGTTTTTAAATTGCTGAATATTTGTAATTATCCATAACTAAGCAAGCTGGCATACTGCTTGGGCTTTAAAAGTGTGACTAAATTGTCACATAATCCTGGAGCAAGCCCATGGGGAGAGTTGACCATTGTCAAGGCATCTAACTGAGCTCTCTTTGTAGGGTCTGTGTGTTTTAAAAACTGAGGTTCTTCCAATCTCTGTCCTTCAAACCCATATTATAACACCCAAATGGGTCCAAATAATAAACCCATGTCCAAATAATAAATATGGAATTGAAGAACATTTACTATAATATCTGAGCCCATTGATGTTAATTTTTAATTTTATGGTGGTTGATTCAATTGGCTATATGGAAGAAATTGAACACTGCCAAATATGAATTCACTGTCTCATTCATTCAATCATTCAACAAATATGTATTTAGGACTTCCTGGATTCCAGGCTGCCCCTAAGACTCTGGATCCTGAGTTGATGTCTCAGGAAGGCATAGGGATAAATGTAGACCAACTACAGGACAGAGAAGAGGTAGGTTCCTTACTGTTGTCCCCCACATCTTCCCATCCTACATCCGAGAAGTTGTGGTGTTCTGAAGAGCAAGACCATTTGTGAAGGAGTCACGGTGGAAATGGAGTTTGGTAGGGTTTAAGTCGCTGGGAACATAACTTGTAAGATTGACACTCTTGTGATCTCTTGAGATACCAGGTTCCACCAGATCAGAGTGTCATGTTCCATTACATTGGTCTGTAGATGTGTTGTCACCGGATGCACAGTACACACTCTCAAGCACTCCCCTTCACCTGCAGAATAAGGTTCTAAGTCTAACTTGAAAATAACTGATACTTTTTTGCCCCACCTCTAAGGATTTCTCCTTTTTTTCCCTTTGGTCCCACAGGAAGCACCAGATTTCAGGTATAAAATTACAAGGAGCAGAGATGGCTTGAGAGTCCATAATTCAACAAAGCATTTGTAAAAGTATATTTAAACTAGGGCACTGCTTAAATAATAAATATTAGGGCAAATCACTTGAAAGTGGTCCAAAGGCTTAAGGGCAGCCTGGCATACAGAAGTTCTAAATATATATTTGTTAATGATGAATGAATGGGTGAGTAGATTCATATTTGCAATATCCCAATACTCATCTACAGATAAAAATAGTCAAATGTCAGAAATTATGTATGGTTCAATCTGATATTACAATGACTGTCAATTTCTGCTTGCAACAGGGAGGTTAGTGCTATATTTATGTACAAATTTGGCAGCCTTGTATCTTAAAGGTGAATGTTTTTGGATTTCCATGTGTTAGATTATTTGATGAGTGATCACTAGAACCTGGTTGGTTATTCTGGGTAACACAGATTGGCTGCTTTTCCAAGGAAGGGCCATATGTGAAATCTGATTCAGAGAAGATGTAAACCCTGAACATACTCAGAATAAAAACTCTAGAAGGCTGGGAGAAGACCTCTAGGTTCATCTCTACTGTTAGTGTTGTATTTTTATTTGCACCTGATTATAATTGTTTGTAGCTAATTGTAATGTTTTGTAACTGATTGATTAGATTTTTCTACTTCCTCTAAGAACAAATGTTCATAGTCTGTCATTCTGTGGGTATTGCCCATTCTTTCCTTACAGAGCCCAAAGTAGACAGAAGTCAGGAACCCTCAGGAATGCATGTAAAGGAGCAAAGAGGTGTGCTTGATCTACTGCTTCAATGAGGCCGTCATTATGATGTCTTTGCAAAAATTCAGACCTTAATTAACACAAGCACGTGATTTTGATAATACTTCCAAATCACTTTAAAAGACTGAACTTATATAAAGCAAGTCCATCATTAAGCATGCGTTTATTCCTATGGGATCTCTGTAACCCCCCAGGTCTAAGAGATTCCACAGATACCAAAAAAGCCCTTGGGAAAGTGAAGCACATTTTGAATTGTAGTTGTTCACATGGTTTGTGGTTTTGCAATGACATCCCAAATAGTAGTTGCTGTTCATTCAAATATATAAACTATTGCAAAATGATTCCCTGCAAGGAAAACTTTTCAATGACAAGGATATAGATATTGCACTTTTCATTAAATCCAGTCTTATACTTCTGGTCCCTTAGGAACAAACGCACTCTGTCGTTTCTTTTTTTAATAAAATGTTCTACATTATATTAGCTTCATGGCTGATCTTGTATATTTTCTCTCTTTCCGTTGCCCCTCTAACTGGTCAGACAAGCATGGCCGAGAGCACTTCTTGCATCAGGGTGAGTGTCGAGAGAGCTGTCCAGCTGGCCACTACTCTGCCAAGGGGCACATCTGCCTGCCCTGCCCAGACAACTGTGAGCTTTGCCACAACCCACGTGTCTGCACAAGATGCATGAGCGGCTACTTCCTCGTGCCCACCAACCACTCCTGCCGGAAGCTGGAGTGTGGACAAGGTGAGGCTATTCTGTTTCCCCTGCCCAGTACCAGGAAATGGGAGGACAGTCTGTACCTCTGTATGTCCTGGAGACTTAAATTACCCCCTAATAGTAAAATCAGGACTTAGGACAACTGAATGCTTCCATATATCCAATGAGGACAATAGTAGCTGCCCCTCTCTCTTCCCCCACGTCTTCATCCTAGGTTTTCCCAGATTCAGTCTAAGCACAGAGAAGCACAGCCAGTCACATAGAAGTCATTGGGTATTTGCAGAAGGGATATGTTAGAGAAAAAAATTAGATTAGAATTCAAAAGTCTTGGCCAACAGTTTTCTTCTTCCCAATTACCAAGTAGGAAACCCTGGTCAAAACAAATCCAATTTGTTATGCTATGGTGCCTCTGTGAAGGGGACAGCAAAGCACCTGGTTAGACATGCTGTGAGAAGCCAGTGAGAATCAGCCTCCCTGATCTGAAACCACTTGAAGATATTAAAACGGACTGTGAATCATATCTGTTATTGTTTATTGCCCAATTTGTTATCTCCTATGAGAAGAAGGAAATTTAAAAACAGCACTTATAGGTTTGGCTCTTTTCTATGTAAGAATGTCACAGACTATTGCTCCGTCTCTGTGTAAGAATTATGCCTGGCGTGGTGCTGAAACAAGCACCAACATGTTTTTAGAATAATTAAGATAGGAATTTCTATTTCTGCTTAATGTTCATGAAGGTAGTAAAAGATTTTAAAAGATTTTTCTTTTAATATGTAGGGCAGGACAGATAAAAAGAAAGACAGAGCCTGTTGATTTACACACCCAATTCCATTTCCCCAGAAGCAGTGCTGATTTCTTTCATAAAGAAAGAAAGAACACCAGCTTCACTTCAAAACCAGTTCCAGGCATGTGGCCCTACTTTGTTGTATTTGTACCAGTCAAGCTGATTCAATCTATTGAAGAATTAGAAGAAGATAAAAAAGTGTGTGGCACATATATTGTCAAGGATGGCTTTGGATTTTATAACTGCTCTATGATTTAGTAAGCTACATGCCACCATATTTTCATAGCAATCGATGTGTCTCCACTCAGTGGAAATGAGTTGTATTTTCACTCCTCTTGCGGTGCAGGTGAAGTTCAAGACTCAGACTATGAAGAATGCTTGCCTTGCGAGGAAGGATGTCTGGGATGCAGCTTGGGTATGTCACCTTCCTTTGTTATTTAAAGAGTTTAAATAGCTTTGTCATTTTCAACACACCCATATTCTGTTCCAGCTTCAGAAAGAACTCTTCATCTTTGTCATTCTTAGTGTCCCCAGCCATATCCATTGAGGAGGCTTTCTTCGATACCAATAGGGTCACGTGGAGCAATGTTTTTGAGATAATAGATAGGCCTCTGGTCTTAATGAAAATCAAGTTTAAGAAAGGACAGTAGTATCACCCTATGACCCAACTATACCACTCCTCAGTGTTTATCCTGAGGAATTAAAGTCATCATACTATAGCCAATTATGCATACCCATGTTTATAGTAGCACAATTCACAATAACCAAGTTATTGAACCCACCTACATGTCCATCAGTGGATGAATGGATAAAGAAAATATGCTATATGTTCACAAAGGAGTTTTATTCAGCCATAAAGAAAAATGAAATTATGTCATTTTGAAGGAAAATGGATTGAACTAGAGATTATTATGTCAAGTGAAATAAGCCTCAGAAGGGCCTACATTGTCTTTCATATACAGAAGCTAGAGAGGAAAAAGAAAAATAAAGGTGTGGAGGCTGGGGTCTAATAAAAATCAAAGGGATGGGGCTGGGATTATGGGTTCAATCCCTAGCACCAAAAAAAATCAAAGGGAGATCAGTAGAAGAAAACAACTGGGAAGGAAGGAGGAGAGAGTGGTAGGAAGTAATACTGGCCAAATTCTATTGTTATATTGTGGGCATGTATGAATATGTGACCAAAAAATTCCATCATTATCTACAACTATAACAGACCAATAAAATATGTGGAAAGAAAAGAAAGAACAGTGGCACCTTTCTCTCTGATTGGTAGCTAGTTGGCAGCTCTCTCTCAGCAACCACATTGCAAGATGACTGATACTCTTCCCTTCTCAAGGTGACAGATTTGAAAGACAATGAAAAACCCAAGCAAAAAGATACCAACTTACTCTCACTCATCCAGTGTGTGCAACTCAAAGCTTGTGGGAAGAAAAAATTGGGAGGTTTTCCTTTATAGAATGACTCTATTGCTTGGGTCCAGGACAATCCTTAGAGACGGTGGAGTTGAAATCCCTGACATGTTACAGAAACCAAATGTAATTCTTCCACTCATATCAGTGGTGTCTCCTTTCTCTTTCTCTCATGCTCCTGGTAGAGGAGTGATGTGGACAGTTTGTAGCACACAGCACCACTGGACTGCATGCAAAATGTCAAAGAGGGATATACCACCAAATTCCAAGATCATATCTTAATGTAAGTTTAGACAAGATATAGAAACCAACTAAAGATCACTAGAGAGAGTGACAAGTGTATTCTAAATGCTGATAATTGTCTTACCTTCAATTCAAAACTTTTTCTTGATTCATATTCTCTATGTATTAGGACTTACATATTCTCAGATTGACTTAGTTGAACTCAATTATGACCATATTTCTGATCCCTCTGTTGATCTCTCCAATAGAGAGATCTTTTCCAAGTTCCTTTTATTTGTAAATTGGTGGTAATACTTTTTCAGCTGACTGGTGTGATATCTGGTATGTATGCCTCTTTCTGCCTAGACATTAAATGACTTGAGAATAAGCTCTGTGACTTATATGCTCAGCTCCCATAAGATTTAACAGCATGCCCAAGATATAATAAATGCACAATTATTGTACAAATGTCCCTGACTTATGATGGTTTGATGTATAAAGTTTCAACATTATTTTGGTGTGAGGGTGGTACCTATTCAGTAGAAACTGAACTTAGGATTTTGAATTTTGCTCTTTTCCTGGGCTAGCAATGTGTGGTACAAAACTCTCTCATGATGCTGCTGGGCAGTAGCAGCAAACCGCAGGGCCCAGTCAGTCACGTGATCACAAGATAAACAGCAAACACAGTATATGTTGCCAGTGTTTTCAGACACAGGTATTTAATAAATTACATACAACATTCAACAGTTTATTATGAAATAGCCCTTGTGCTAGATGATTTTGCCCAACTATAAGCTAATGTATGTTTTCTGTTTAAGTTAGGGCTTAGCTAAGTTAGGTAAGTTTAGGTTGGGAACTTTAAATGCATTTATAACTTAACATTTTCAGTTTAGAAGAAGTTTATCAGGAAGTAACTTCATTGTAACTAAAGGAACGTCTGGATGAATGTTTGGTGGATTGAATTTGAGAGTTATCCAAATTCAAAACAGAGATAAATGGCTTAGGAGACCCAGGGATTTAGATTTTATGTTTTCTGTAATCAAAATTTGTATATGATCCAAGGAGAAGAGAAAAAAATATAGAAAAATAGGTGATTATTTTTTTCGTGGAATACTAGAAAGATTTAAAGAAAACATGTATTTCATAATATTAATAAGAAAGTATATGAACTTAAAAGACACAAACAATTTACTGTTGATTTTATTGTGATTCTTCTTGTGAAGCAAAACATCATCCTTTGGAGAGAACTTAGCTTTATTCCATTTTAATAATGTAGATTTTTCTGCGGACCAAGTCTAGACCATCTCTAGAGGAATTAGAGAAGTAAAATCAGCTACTTTGAGACATTTTATCTCCGATATGTAATAAATAGTTATTGGGAACCTTGAGATATTTCCTGGGTTTTTTATTCCTTTCCAGATATTTCGTGCACTGTAGATTACTATTTGTCTTTTACGACTAATAATGAAAAACTCAAATTCCAGATTGATGGGCATTTTAATCTTATTCCAGGGTGGAGTTAGGTATTTGTCAATCCAAAAAAAGAGAAAGCTAAATCCACAACCAAAAAGTATTGTTTTGTCTGGAAGAAAATATTGAATTTGATATTCTAGGATGGAACAAGGGCGTTTTTATTATTACAGGGTTAGATTTTTTATCAAGCTGTAAACAAACAGGATTTTTTATAATACTCTTATGTTTCAAGAGTATTTGATGTCAAATTCTTTGTCTTTTTCATCAGTGTCTTGAAGGAAAATTTTAACAAAGATAAACTTAAGTATTCTAGACTGTATATTTTACTAATTGAGGGGGAAAGTAAATAGGGTAATTTTACCTAACTTTTTTACCTAATTTTTTTTATCTAATTTTGCCTAATGTTTTTTAATTTGGAGAATGCAGTGATATTTATGACACTTAAGTTATAACCAAAGATTTGGGACCCATATCTATATCACCATTGACTTAATTATAAACTTTAATTCAAATTGCAATATGGCCTCTTTACTTCCTTACCTAATCAGTAAAAATAAAGATTACCATGCCTTTATTTTGACTCAGAAAGGGGTAATAAAAAAAAAATCCATTAAGCTAGGTGTGGTGGCACACACCTGTAATCCCAAGCTATTTAGGAAGCTGAGGCAGGAGGATGGATTGAAAATTCAAGGCCAGCCTGTGCAATTCAGTGAGATTCTGTCTCAAAAATAAAATTTTAAAAATGAGATGGTATGCAGGTGTAGCTCAGTAGTTGATCCCTTGCCTAGCATTTGTGAGGCCCTGGGTTCTATCCACAGTACTACAAAAAAAGAGAAAAGAAAAAAAAAAAAAGGAGTTGAAAACCCACTAATGTTTGTTCATTGAAATGAAATAGTATGGAAAAGCATACAGAATTTTTAAAATTTAAGTAATTGAAAAAAAAAAAAAGTCATGTCAATTGAGTGACAAATAAAAGAACACACAGATACACCAAAAGAATTTAGAAAAAAAGGAACTCCTGAGCCCTGAGGTGGTCGAACACAAACAATTTCCAGGAAGATGAGACCTGAGATGATCACTGGAGTTTTGCAAGGAATTTATAAAGAGGAAAAAGCTATCCTCTGGAGGGTCTTTCAACTTGGATAATGCAGGAAAAAAGGCTTGGAGGAAAAAATTTCTGCCATGGATTTTAGGATGTTAAATGTACTAATTTTACAGAAGAAATAGTAAATATTAGGGAATAGTCAAAGAGAAATTTGGAGATGTGGTTCAAAACCAAAATTTGAATTCCAGACTAATGAGTTTAAAAGTATTCTGTGACTTAAAGGAATAATTGTAGGTTCTTCATAAAATGAGGGGGGGGTCTGTTGGGAGTATAGTGCTTGCCCAGCATGGGACTGTAGTAGATACACCAGTGAGAAGGTTCCTTGAGAAAGTTGGGCACAGTGGTGCAGCCTATAATCCCAGCGGCTTTGGAGGCTGAGGCAGGAGGATTGTGAGTTCAAAGTCAGCCTCAGCAATTTAGTGAGGCACTAAGCAACTCAGTGAGACCCTGTCTCTAAGTAAAATACAAAATTGGGCTGGGGATGTGTCTCAGTGACCCTGAGTTCAATCTTCAGTTCTTCCCCCCAACACCAAAAAAAAAAAAAAAAAAAAAAAAAAAACTAACAGAGAAAGTCTGGTAAGAAGTACCTACAGCCTGATCTCAGTTGGTACCAGGAAATTGTTGCGGAAAGCTCAGTCCTTGTCCCTGAAGCCAAAGGAAAAAGTCTTATTGTTTAGCTAGCAAAGGAGAAACACAGGGGACTCCTGTCCCAAAGGCTGAGAATCTGCCCATCAGCAGGAACAGGGGGCTGTTAAAGAGGTGATTCAAAGGCTACGTTCCGTGAGTTCTCTGTTGGAGTTGTAATTCACTTGTTAATTTGGGAGATAGTCATTTCTGAGATCTTCTGATACCATCCCCAAAGTCTAGATTCCTCAAGGACAGATAACTTTGCCTAAAAAGAGGATGAAAGGTAATCCTGTTTCCTCTGAGATTAGGGAGGGGGAGAGATTAAGGAGGAGCAGGGAGAAAGGAAGAGAAAGAAAAGTCCATTTTAAAAATAAGCTGCAGTGGCAGAACAGCAAGGGTTATATTCAATGCATAAAATGGACCAAGGTTACAAAGCTATGAAGAAAGAGAGGTGCTTTTTTTAAAAATCCCATTAAACAAACAGCCCCAAGCATAAGAAAAGAATTTTTATTATAATATGAGAATGCAAATTAAAACTACCATGAGATTCCATTTCTCACCTATCAGATTGGAAAAAAT